CGGGAATGGGGTTCTCATTGATCACCACTTGTGCTCGGTCCGACATGTCTAAACCCTGCCCCTGATTGAGCTTAGCAGAATCCGTGTTCTTACAGAATTGGCATTCTACCTTTTTGTGCACATCAGGGCTTTCATGGGCTTTGTAATTCCCTGCCTGGCTCGAGCGGCCAGAAGATGTGCAGCAGCCAGCGGCTCAGATCTCCACGGAAGTAGAGCGTTTTGGCATCCAAGCAAATGCCTGCAGGGTGTGGTGGATCGGCATCAAGTGCAAAGACTCCATCTCTGCGGAACAGAATGACGGCTCCGGAGAGTTGCTGGGTCAGTTGCTGGAAACATCTCCAACCCGTCCGGCTGCACGATACCCCGTCCGGCACCTGTCAAGTCTGCAGAGCTCAGACCACAGCAGAGCCTGAAATGCATAGCGAGGGCCGCCTTTAATGGAATGGGAATCGAAATGCAAAGACGAGCACCGAAATGGGAATCGAAATGGGCTGCATACGTCCGAAATTCTCTGACCGAATGAGTGCAGTGGCTGAGAAAGATCTGCAACGAAAATGAACCTGGGTGGAGCGAGGTCGCAGCACGGGTGCCGGTCCTGTAGCCAGCAGCCAGCCAAGTGCACAAAGCCAGTAGAAAAGCCAAGTTGGCAGGGCGCTCTTTGTAGACCTTGCAACAGCTTCAATGGCAGACTCTCGCCAGGGCAACAATGATGTGTTGTATCAAATTGAGCCATGTGTACCCTGTTCTCGTACAAGCCATGTTCGGCTGACCTCCACTTCCCTCAGATTCCCTCAGTTGTTGTTCCGTAGCATACAGCATCAAGACAGGTGCCACTTTGAGGTGAATCTGAATATGGGTGTTCCATAACTGCTGTGACGATTGAGATTGAGTTGTGCTAGCATATCTATATGTATGCATAGATTGCACAGTAAATATACTTCCATTATCTTCCATTTGCACGTGTCAGCTTGACCGTATGCTGCACCCGTCGCAACCGCAAAACCGCGGGAAGCAAACTTGCTTCCAAGGCCTCCAGCTGCAGGGCTACAGAACGCCAAGCACCAGAGAAGGACAGGGGCGGAATGTCCTCGTCTTGTGAGCGGTGAACCACCTAGGCTCTGTCAACCAGGCTGCTTTGGTTGGCGCATCGAAGCGATCGAAACGTCCGATCGCGGAGAAGGGGCGGTGTCGCGATCGAAACGTCCGATCGGTGTCCCCTCAAGAAAGAACTGTCACACAGGTTTCACCGTCCAGAAGTTGTGAGTGCTGGAAACCAAAGGAGTGGGCAACGATTTCCACCGAAGGAAGTGACCCATCTCCATCGATCTGGTGCCTTCTTCCCCGTTCCCACGACCGTCTCCGCCGCCAAGAGTGGCAGAAGAATGGGCTATGGGTTCAAATCTATGGCCCCTTCAGGGCATAAGGTTCTTGGTAGTACATCCGTCATGTACTCAACCACTGCGGAATCCCGAAAAATAAACAAGGCCATATGGCCTGCGGCATGGGAGAAGCCGTCACCGGATGGCCATGAAGACCCCCTTTTCGAGTCCTGGTATGTTTCGTTAGAGATCTGCCTCTGAAAGCTTTGTTCCCATTGCATCATCTTATGTTTCTTGGCAAAACTCGTGCAACTTTAACAATTGGGCTGGATATATATAGTGTGTGAATGCTGGTAGCCTGAGGGCCTGCCTCTGTCCGAAAGCACTTTCCAGGGGCACCTGCTTTGCAGCCTACCTAGTCGCCGTGTTTTGCTCATATGAACATGACATGCACTGCACATCGCTCACAGTAGGTACAAAAGAAAGGAAAACATGCAAGGCATGATGGCATTTCATCTCTCAAGCTCATGGAGCGTTGAATGCACGCTTGGGCTGACAATGCTGCGGCGCCCCACTGGCAACTGAGGTGGGTGGGGTCTTGCTTGCTCAACCCCTCCTGCAGCAACAACTGGCACTTTGCCAGCTACAGGTTGTCATGCATACCGAGGCGAATGTATGGTGGGTCGGGGGGCAGCAAAGCATTTGCCCTGGTTGACGTTGGTTTGAAAAGCTCGGCATCAACTACACCAAATTGCTGAACCGTGAAAAATGTACAGTATTTGTGTGCCATTCATGTACGTTATCTTGGGCTGAGTCAAGGGTACCATTGCAAAAAAGCTTTCTCATTCCATGTGTGGCTTCGTCAACCCAGGTGATGTGCGAAACCACATGGCCTGAAGAAAGCAGCTTAGGCAGTAGCACTGCTCCCTTGAGTGTAGCCTCACAAAACGCGATTGATCTCCGTGAGAAACGCTTCCCCATGGCCCTTCTCAGCTGGAGTCACAAGAAGCACCAGGATCGAATGGTTTAGGTACTAGACAACCTCTTCTTTGCCAGCAAGTGTCCCAGCTACACGCCTTTTTTGTCCGAGTAAGTAGGATCAGTGCGGATTGAAAGTCTGGAAAACAATGGGGAAGCCTAGCGGTTGACGTCTCCAGAGCCGACGCCCACAAAATGGGCTCCTGTTGGATAGGAGGTGTCGAAAAGAATTCCGCAGGTGCCACAAACGTATTGTTCGGTGACATGCTCATCTGCACAGGCGCTTCCATCCATTGGCGTCCTGTCATACCCACAATGAGTCTGCTCCTTTTCGTGCCTGATGAGGCGGATATAGCCATCTTCGCCCCACAAGGTACCCCAAGAATTGCGGATGGTCCAGTACTTAACGCCATTCTCTTCACCATAGCCCATGAGAACCACCGCGTGGTCAATATCGATGTTGCGGTCCTGCATGATGAAAGGCTGCGGTCCGGGTGAGGATTCCGGTTCCATCACCACCTCAAAAGGACCTGTAACTGGTGGAATTCCACACTCTCGCGAGGGGGAAGAGTTTTGGTCTGCAAAACAGTAGGTACAAAGTGACGTGGCATCTTTTGTCTATTAGCATTGATGCCCCGGCGCAAGCAACCCTCTGAATGAAGAATGGTATACTGCAACTTTGGTGTCTGAAAACCTAAGGGACTTCCACGTGCGTGGATTCGCCACCCACGGTCCGTGGGGCAAAAGTCCGCAATGCCATTCACATAAGGGCTCCAGCCGCTTGCATCTACTGAAATGGCCTCCGGGGGAATGTGACGGAAATTTATACAAATCATCGAATCATCGAGAGCATGCTCAGGCTCAAGCAGAACCTGTCAGTCACACACTGTGTCTGGCCATACCATACCCATATCTTGAAGCTGCATCCAGTGCAGGGAATAAAAGGGATTATATATACTAGAAAGTTCCTCCTGCTTCTACTTGAAACGTGTTTCCTTCCTGCTACTCTTCTGGCATTCTTGGCTCCCCTACTACTCTGGTATACTCTCTTCCACTCCTACGACCATCCGTCTTGCTCTTTGCGCCTGAGGGTCATTTTTCATGGTTTGGTTTGCATCCTACCTAACTGCTAGCACTGGTGTCAGTATTTACCAGCTGTTGCTGCTAGTCTTACTCCTAGTCCTAGACTCCTAGGCCTTCTCTCACTTCTGCTACTCGCCCTACTCTTGCTTGCTTCTCCTTCTACCTCTGCCCTTCAAGTTATGTCTATCTCTACTACTACTGCTGCTGCTGCTACTACTCCTCCTCCTCCTTCATCTTCTCATCCACATCTCTGTCTCCATCGACTCCAACTCCTTTTCCTGCTCTTCCTATCATTCCTGCTGCTCCTACCACCACCACCACCACCACCACCACTACCACCACCACCACTACCACCACCACCACCACTACCACCACCACCACTGCAACCCACCGCCACTACCGCAAATATGTCCACAAACACTAAGCCTAAGCCTCTCTCATGCGGACAGGGACATGCCACACGCGCGCCTGTGGCCCTGCTGTCACCAAGGCTTCCATCAGAGGACCCAACTGGTTGGTTGGATTGCTGACGTAGTTCTGAACCGAAACCACGGGATAATGTTGGTAGTGGAGTTTCATCCTCAGTTTGTCAGGTGGTCTTTGGAATCTCACCAGTCACACATATCAAGCACAAGAGCTTTACCAAGTAATTACTCACCTTGCTCCTTCTGCTCCTTCTGCTCCTTCGCTACTTCTAGAAAATCAGCTGCACTGCATCCTCCGAGGCTCGTGTCCGTGCACTCACCAGAGCTCCCCCAGAAAGATGAGTAGCTCACTGTCTGGGCAAAGTAGAAACGTTGCTCGGTCATATCTCTCTCAAGCCGTTTCATTTTTCAAGCTTCACCCTTTTCTTTGTCTCTGCACGCTCCACAAATTGACGGGGGACCCCCACGAGCCGGGCCCGCGTCCGCGTGGACGAGGACGAATCGGCTCGGCTCTCGTGCACCTCTTCGTAGGTCAAGGCGTTGTTCATGACGAAGCCGAAGCCGATCTGTGCAGTGGCACCTGAAAGTCGAATCTGAACTCCAGACTACCTTGCTATTTGTTTCACTCGCTTCACGCAAATAGTGCCTCGGCCTCCAGAAAAAGAAGAAACACCCCGTGGCTTAGTGATAGATCTGTTGTGATCAATTCATTTCGAGGTATCCTGTTCAAGGCCTTAAACTTGTGGGAAGGGATTGCCAAACATGAAATGAGTCCATGCTTACAAATCAACTTACAAGCAAACCCTTTTGTATGGCATGTCTGGTGTCAGAGCAATCTAAGGGCACTATGAGACCTGATTCGGATCCAGGTTCCAAGGGCTAAGACTAAATGCACACGCTTTGGGCCACAAATATGCTACATGTGACATGCCAAAGACATTTTGGCATAGCATGTACTTGCGCTATGCCTGGTTGCGATGTGTGCATGGTCCTTGCTGCATCTCCAAGGAACCCTCACAGCCGCCAGTGCCACCGCATGCTCGAGGATTTGGGGCGCAAGAGACCATCATCTGCGGTCCCAATTCAGCCAAAATACCCGTACTGCAGGGTCGATTCGATTGATTTGAAAGTGTTGCCAGGGCGTGTCCAACAGAAGCAGCAGAGGTTTCATCTTATCTGGAAAAAGACATTAATTGGCTGGATTTGTCTAAGTGTAATGAGTTTGAGTGGCTCGAAAACAGAACAGCCCCGACCCCGTGATTGCAAGTCACAGGTCTGCACTTAGATACAAAGGCCCAGAATTGTCGTAACTGTTTGTGATCCTGGGCCCTGATGACCGGTGACACGTCTTTGTTCAAAAAATATCATCATCCCAAAATCGGTCCGGATCGCAGCATGGCTCTCGATAACAGCTGTCGCCGCGAAAGCCCAACAGGAGCCTAAGTTGCAAACGCAAGGCTCTTGATCACAAGCGCCCACTACCTCCACTTGCCGCTTCAGGGGTGACGATGTGTTCTACACCCGTTCGGGAGGTTGTTCGCTGTGGGTGATGTGCTGTCTGTCAGGAATGACATATCTCTTGGTAAAAATGAAAAGTGTGTTGACCACGCAGTGGATCACTGCGTGATCGCATTGTTCGTCGTGGTGGCAGTGAGAAGGGCCAGGCCATCCAAGCCTCTTTTGCATGGTGTCTGTCGGAGTGGAGATGGGAACCCGTCCTGTTGTTTAGCTAGGTCTGTGGCTAAGTCTTTATGTTTCACGATGGCGTAACGCTTCACACCTGCTACCCCATCAGTGATGATGCTGAAGTGATGTGATGATGTGTCGTATTGTGTACCTCTCCATGCTTCGCGAATATATTATGCATGCAGCATGTAGCTTGGGAGGGCCATGCTGATGCTCCCAGGCAACACCTGAGCCAGGCGATGGTGAGGTTTCGTGGGCTATTGTGAGGTTGGAAAATGCGCGTGTCCAGCAGCTCTGTGTGTGTGTGTGCGCCAGCGTTAGTTAGTGTACCAATGTGCCAAGTCGGCTTCGAGAGAGGTGGGTGGCTGCGCCGCTGCAGGTTGGCGTTGCTGTTTGTGCTATGTTGCGACAAGATGGTATCCTGCCATGAAGGATAGATATGTCACTGTTGTGGCCAGCACAAATGCGGCCTTGAAGGGTTGAGCTGGAGTGTGTCATCCACAAACATACATAAACAAATGTTTTAAGGCGTGGATGCCATGTGTTGGTCGAATGTGAGGTAGCACCATGAGGTGGTTGAAGGCCTGTCAGAGATCGACTACGCCTTTGTATCAGTTTGGGGAGCATCCAGCCTGGGAGTAAATCGTCCCACGTGTTGATCCGGTCTGTGGTGACGTGGTTGGAAGAATCAAAACGCCCGGTGGTTCCAGTGGGTCAAAACCATCGACCCCACGTCGGCCGATTCAGAGGCTGGCCAAGGCGTTCAGGCCAAGGAACCACAGTGGCCCTGGTTCTTTGCTGGAGTCACGTACTCACCCTTCTCACCTCGGCTGGGTACGCGAACAGGCGGTGCCAATGTGTACTGGGTGCGTGCTCGACCATGCTTCTTCATGCTCGACCATTGGCAAGGACAACAGAAGCAACCACTCGGTCCTCCTCTCCAGAATTTATGATGCAAACAACAACAATCTACTTACCGCTTCAAGCCAACTGGTGCAAAAGGAACTGCAAACGCTCTTTTGTAAATGATTGGCTCAGTGGGTCAAGGATCCAG